GCCTGCTGGCCTCAGAAGTGCATCCATCTGTCCAGCCTTCCTGCCTAGGAGCTGCGGGCTGGGCTTCCTCCACCAAAGAGAGGCGGGCAGCGCGGGTGGCCTGGAGACCGCTGTGTTAGTAAACTTCCCCGAAGCTCGGGCAGGGATGCACCATGGCTTCCAGTGGGATGGCTCTCTGTGGCCACGGCCGGCGGAGGAGGAGGGAAGAGTCGTTGTTTGCCAAAGGTCTCTGTTTGGAGCTGTCCCTGGGGTGGGGGGACCTGGCTCAAATGTCCCCTGCTGCCTAGCTCGCTTGGGTCTCAGGCTTGTGGTCGGTTCTGCCTTCCTGATCTTCTTCAGTTGTTGGTGCTGGTAATGGGTACCCAGTGTCTGGAGCCATGGCAGGCTGGCAGGCAGGGAGATCGTTGTGGGGTGACGGTGCTCCACGGGGCTTGGTGGGCCTTTTCCAGATGGCTCTGTGTGGCCTGGGGGCGGCTGTTTTCTGCCGCACACCATGGCACTGGGTGCCTGTAGTGGTGGGACTGACTTGATGCAGGCGAAGAAAAGACACGGGGTGCAGGGACCATGGGTCAGGGGCCCTTGGGAGACCCCCACCTCATTACACAGACATGCTGCTTGGTACTTGCCAGAGTCCACGACTGAAGAACGTTTATTGAGTGACTGCATGAGTGAATGGGGGTGCTTGTTTGTGTTAATGTCTGGCGGGAGCCACACGAGGGCTCCCCCAGAACGTAGAGGTGCCTTCTCCCACCGCTGGGAGGAGGGTCCCCATGTGCCCATCCTGGGAACTCTCCAGCTGTGCTGGAATTACAGGCAGGAGCCACCGCACCCAACCTGAAATGGTTTTTAGATAGACAGCCAGGCCAAGCACAGCTGCTGGTTCACTCCAGTGTGGGAGCCGAAAGGAGGAGAATGTAGAGTATTTGTGCAGTGTGTTTATGTCCTAGTGGGAGAGGAAAGGAAGCTATTCTCCTGGCCTGGGCTCTTCTACACAGGTAGCTGATGCTTAGCGGTCACGTCCCTCAGTTAGCAAACACTGACTGGACACCTGCGTGGCACCACAGGGACCGGAAGCAGGACCCTGTGGATCCCTGCTCTGGAAGGACATGTCAGTGCATCACGACGGTCAGATGAGTTGGGGGATGCCAGGTGGCGGTGGAGCCAGGAGCAGGTCGCAGTTCCTTGTTCTCCTGAGCATGTTCTTGCCTATGAGATGGAGCTAATGACCCTAATGCCACCCTTTTGGGGTGGCAGTGGGGCTAAGTCAGATGATAGGAGCTGTGTTTAAAGTTCTGTGACAGTGGTCTATGGGGGTCAATGGGGAGACAGAGGGACCCCTACGAGTTGGGTCAGGGCCTTGGGTTGTGGGATGAGACCGAGCCTTGCTGTGATCGGAGGTCCTGAGCCTCTGGGAGACAGAGGGACCCTGTGAGTCTGATCAGTCCTCGGGTTGTCATTGGAGCCAGTCTCACTGCCATCGGAGGTCCTGGGCCTCTGGTTGTGGAGATCTGAGGACAGGGGCCAGTCCTGCTGCTTTGTCAGACTGCTGTCCATGTGGGGAGCCCACTGTGCCCTCCGGCCCCATCAAGGCAAGTCTGTGCAGTTTGGGGTATGTGGGCCCCCTCCTGGAAAATGGGGCTTGCCTGCCTTTGCCGGGATCCTGGCTTCACACCCGCTATCGTTTCTGGACAGCAGGATTTATCTTCCATAGCCACAGACCAGGAGGTGTGTTCTGAACACTCACACAGCAACACCACAAACAGCCAGAGATGAGTCGGAAGGGACCCAGAGACTAAGGGCCAGTCAGGAGGGAGGGCAGATGCTGCTGCAAGTGCTGACATCGTGAATTGGCAGTCTGTGAGCACTGTGTTCAGAAGGATTCTGAGATTTAGTGCCAAGCTGAGAAGAAAGTGGGGTAAGTGACGAACCATGTCTTCCCAGACTCAAGATTAGAGTCAGGGAGTTCAGCCCTGATGGAGTTCAACTTACACACATTGGAGAATGGCGTGTTTCGCTGCCCAGCTACATGCCTGCCTCCTGTGCACATGCGCATGCACAGCAGTGTGAGAGGCTGGCCTTTCGGCTTCAAGGCTGATGACTGATGACACCTGTGACCTTGCTGAGGGTGAGGGTCAGTGGGTCTGCGTTTTGTTTCTGCTCCAGAAGGCCGGGGTAGGTGGATTGGCAAGTCAACGAGATTTTTCTTAGACTCCACTGTGGCTTGGGCTGCCTGGGGGTTCCCTCATGCAAGCTGTGTGGCATGGGCAGGTACAGATGATGTCTGCTGCATCTTGGCCCCCGCCTGGGTGACTGCTTATGACTCACTTGTAGAGAAACCCCCATCGTTCTGCAGCCCACCCCCACCTCACCCTGAACGGCAGCTTGAGCAAGCCTAACCACAGCTCTGATAACATGATAGCCGACACAGCGTACCTGCCCACCTCTGGGCCTCCACACACACTGTTCCCCACATCTACCGCCCATGACGGTCTCCTCCTCTTGGGGTGGAGGGAGCTCAGCTCAGAGGTGATCACTCTGGAAACCATGCCTGGTCCTGGATGCAAGTGAGAAGCCCTGTTTGGGGGCCCCTGTGGCCCTGAAGCATGGACCAGCTTTCATGTTTCTGGTTGGGCTCCCAGCACATAGTGGATGCCTGGTGGGGAGCTGCCTGCGTGACTGTCACTGCACCTGTCTTGTGGCCGGGGCCCAGGGGGGCATCATCCAGGATGTTCTGAAATTCTGCAAAACCTGTGATCTGGCAGGTTTGTGGAAACAGCAGCTCTTCTCACTACTCATCCTGAAATTAGGCATCAACTTCTTACAAGAAGTGGGGGGACTTCCATATCCCCCCTTTTTAAAGTTTCATTGTTGCTGCTTGTTTGTTTTGAGTCGGGCTTCCACTCTGTCCTCCCACCTCAGCCTCCCAAGTAACTGGAACTACAGGTGCATGCCACCACACCCCGGTAATTTTTTTTTTTTTGTAGAGTTGAGGTCTCACTGTGTTGCCCAGGCTGGTCTCGAACTCCTGGGCTTAAGCAGTCCTCCAACCTGGGCCTCCCAAAGTGCTGGAATTGCAGGCATGATCCCCTGTGTCCGGCCCCTCCTGTCCTTGAAAGTCTTTCTTTCCCTTGTCACAAAACTGATGGGCATTGGAATGAATGAAGGAATGAATGAACAAAGGACTCAGATTGTCATTTTGTCACCGTAGGGTGCTGAGGGAGTGGAGCCCTTTGCTCTGGCCCTGTTCTAGCCCTTGGACGTAGCTGTGAGCCCTCATGTGACTGGTTCCTGACCTAGTCCCTGCTGTGGAAATACTGTCCAGGCTCTTGTCACAGTGGTGGCCCAGCTCCCATTCTCACTTTTTTTTTTTTTTTTGCATCAGGGTCTCACTCTGTTGCACAGGCTGGAGTGCAGTAGCACACTCATGGCCATCACAGCCTCTACTTGCTGGGCTCAGGCAATCGTCCCTCCTCCACCTCCAAAGTGACTGGAACCATAGGCGCATACCACCGCGCCTGGCTCATTTCTTGATTTCTTGTAGAGTCAAGGTCTCGCCAAGTTGCCCAG